TGCCAGGAGGAAAGATCAGAGGAAGGCCTCACCCTCTATGCCTTGTTGTTGGCCCTCCAAAGTAACTGGTTGGCCACTGTGTGAGATAGGATGTTGGACTAGATGGGCCACTGCCCTGATCCTGCAGGGCTCTTCTAATGTTCTTAGAAACTCAGAATGCAACAACAACATTACTCCTTGCATACTGCACTGCTGGACCAGAGGAGAAAGGAGAAGACACAGGACTGCTGATTTCAGCAGCAGCCGTGTGTGTGCTCCGTCCAGCATCCTGAAGCACGAGATGAGTTTGCGCTCAAATTACAACCACTTAACCTAGCAAAATATCCTGAGCAATCCCTGCCAACAATGAGAACTTGCCAGGACTGCAACAGTCCTGACATTACGTGATGGAGCCTGTGCTAAAAAGGAGAGAGAGAGACCCACGAGCACAGAAAGCACAAGCTGAAGCACAGATTTGCAGAAACAAGATGCCCCATAAGGCTGTGGGTTTCCAAGAAGAGCTTAGGGCTATTCCTTCCCACCCACCCCCACTTCTAAAATGGTTTTAAAATTCAGCCCTCAACTTTCGCCAAAAAAAAATCTGTCTCTAATTTCAAACTCAAATAAGCACCCAGCATGGTGGCCTTTGTTTTGTTTTCTTCTCCCCAACTCCTCCCTGGCATTGCATAACAAAAGTGTCTAAATTCACACCATCTGGCCGATAAAGACCTAGGCTCACTGGCCGGCTGGCTCAGCTGATTATGTCTGCTGCTGTCTAGTCTGGGCCTTGTGGCGAAAGTCACAGCTGTGGGTCTCGCTTGCGCTCAATGCAACGCTGTTATTAGCCAGCTGTAGGCCCCGAGACTACTTCTGTTCACATTATAATACCTTTTCACCCCCCCTGAGCATCAAGGGCGTTGGGGCTGCTGGCAACAGCAGAACAAAACACTTTTCCTCTTAGCGGATAGTTGGCAAGGGGGTGGGGTGGGGGGATTATTCTAGGAGAGGTGCCTGACTTTGATTTTTATCCATCATCTGTGCAAAGATTTTGCATACATTACGGTTCGCTTAAGAAGATCCACGGTGAAGTCTCCCAATATCCCCGTCCTAACTATTTCTCATACAAGTACTGAAAGCAAAGGGGCTTCAGAGAACACGGTGAAGATCTAGGTGCGAGCGCTGCGGATGTCGACACCCACAGCTCTGCACCACACTGAAAATATTAAACGCATACACTAATTATTGTGAAACAGAGATTTTCTCCCCCTCCTTCCGCCAGTGACACATCGTTGCATCTGCATAAATATTTAGACAACATTCCTGCTAAGCGCGCATCTGTCACTCAGAAAAAAAGATGTCGGGGCACTGGATGCACTTGTCTGCATTTGAGGTGGTGAGTCGGGCAATTCTATATGACAAATCAGAAGAACGTTTATCTCCCCACTCAAACTGAAAACAAGGCCTGTCACTCAAAGACAATGGGCTTCCTCTTGAACGGCTGGGCCAGTACAGTACATTAAATTTTGATATACTGTTACTAATGCAGGCTAAACTAGGGGCTTTAAAAATTCATGCTGCTCCTTAAGCAGCCCACAGTGAGATCTGATTATTGTGCTTAAAATAAAAATGTCAAGATTAACTAGGCTGGATAGATTTTCTCAAGACTGATTCCAAGTAAGATATGCTGCAATGGTTCTTTTTTTATATACATAATACGCGCGCGCACAAAATCAGCATCCAGGTCATAAAAATTATGTCTGTACAAGACACTTCCATTCAAACTACTTTGATTAGGTTCTTATCCAAGGGCTTATTTTTATTTGGTTCACTAATCTGTGTATTACATGGAAAAGAGATTACCAAATAGTAATTCTTCTGTGGCTAGTCTATCATGTAAGGTGATTGCATGTTAATTCAAAAATGTTTTTACCATTGGGGACTCTAAGGTCATAATACCATCTTAATTCAGGCATGGAATATTTTGACAAACATTCTTGCTGGATAGAATATAAAAGCTGACTTGGGGGTGGGTGATACAGACTTTAATAAATCAATGTACTTGGAGAAAAATACTGACCCCCGTTTATGCCTATGTAAAAAAGAACTCCAAATCAGTCATATCCCTGTTGTTCACTATTTCTTCGTTATTAAGGCATTTCAAACAGGACAGTATCCATTTAAAAATCCCCAAATTCTAGAGAAATCTAAAAGTAGTATGATAGAGGCGGAATTTTACAGAGTGAACCTATGTGCACTTACCTAGGAGTAAGCTCCTCTGACTACAGAGGCACGTCTGATCTGAGTAAGCCTGAGTAGGATTGCACTGTTAACGTCCCTTTTATTTCAGTGGGGGAGATTTAAGTGCACATTAAATGCACATTATGTGCACAGCCCATTAAAAGTACTACTTTATTTGGGCTGGATCGGGTCCATTATATTTAGGGTGCTTATTTTGTGCAGTGATTTTAAAAAACTGTGGCCACAGCCCTATGCATATTTTGCATGAAGGTAGAACAATGTTTGAGTCCAGTGGCACCTTTAAGACCATCAAAGTTTTATTCTGGGTATAAGCCTTTGTGTGCATGCACACTTCTTCAAATACATGCATCTAACACATGTATTGGATACTAAAGCTTATACCCAGAATAAAACTTTGACAGTCTTAAAGGGGCCACTGGACTCAAACCTTGTTCTGCTGCTTCAGACCAACATGGCTACCCACCTGAATCCATTTACTTGAAGGTAAACATATATAAGATTGGCCTGTAAATGCCTGGTAAGCATTCATACATTTAAACTTGCACAGATGTACAGTCCTGCATGTTAGGAGAGTCATAGCATAAAACAGCAAAGTAAGACAGTGAGTAAGCGACACTCACACAACCAGTCCTGTGTGCTCAAAACCTACAAGCCAATGTTATGTATAGTCACCATGTAGTTTTGCTAATGATAAAGAACAGAAGGAAAATGCTCAATGGTATCCATTCCAAAGAGGAAAAGCAAACTCAGTTTAAGAGGAAAGCACATCAGCACCGTTGTGTTGAAGTCAGTTCGATTTTCTGATCTAATGTGATGAAGAGCAGCTAAGTTAAAAAACCCACCTGTGACGATGAGGTCACACGTTCTCTAAGAAAGATCTCAGTTGATCTTCACTCTCACTTGAAGATCTACCCCCAAGACATTTAATATGAGAACACTGACCGGTTGCCACAGGATGGGCTAGTTAAAAGAATCTCAATAGATTTATCATATGCCTTTTAATTGATGACATCTGTGCAAACTGGTGTCTGAATAAAAGCAAGCATTTGGGGGCGGGGAATCTTCCTAGGTTTTGAAGTTACACACACATCACAGCAAGCACCTTCTCAGAAAGAGGCATTCCCCCATGCGTCTGCAAAGGAGGAATACCTCTTCGAAGTTCCGTTTCCTTTCGGTAAGCATTTGCATCATGAAATAGCATGAACTGTTTTCAAAATCTGTTGGACAGTTAATATCTTGGCCTATCTTTACTTGAGCAAAAGATCTTTTAATTGATTGATCTTCTAAGTACTGTGGCCCCCAATGCCAGCAAGAAGAGGAGAAGGGGGAGGGGGATGACAAAGATGGCTGCCAACTTGGCCTTGCCGTTTAAGGCATAGAGAAATGTTTTACGTAATTCATCATTTCAGCATGCTACCATCACAAGAGAAAAGATCATTCCATGGAGAACCTCCATAAATGTATTAGAACTAACGACACTGAATCCCTTACACATACATGGAGGTTCCCCACTTAATGTATATATTCTTACACCCCTGCAGAGCTACAAAACTGGTGATCTTATTGATTTCAGGATAACATCTGTATATCCTCTACAGAAAGAACACGCCTACTTCACTTTCTCTTTTCCAGATTTGAAACAAATCTTGTCTGAAGAAATGAAGAACTAGATCGCACACACAATTTCCCCTGACCTGGTTCACAGGCTTGTCATGAAGATAAAGGAAGAAGAGAAAAACTATGTCCACCACCACGAGGAAGGGCAGGATAGGAGTGTAAGAGATGTTACATACAGGGAAAAAGAGTCTGAGGTATCAGTAGCTGAGGTTACCAGTTTGCTCAAGCACTGCCGGTTCAGCTCATGTCCTGCTCTCCAGTTGTAAATCGAGAGCTTATTATTTAGTGTTGGATATTACACGTTGAAAACACTCAGTATATCTGGGGTTAAATGTTTGTTTATGTTACTCACAGGAAGTCACATGTTTTTCATGTAACCAATGTTCTTTAGCTGTAGAAAGCCCGGGAATTTTCTCCCTGATCTAGGAATTTGATTGGGACTAAAGTGTCAAGGTGTATTAGCATTTTATGGCTCTCTTCCCATCTTTGTTTGGTGTTCTGAAGAAGAAGAAGAGTAGCCATAATCCCTCTCTTCTAGTTTTGTCTTTGTAGAGTAAGGATGTAGCCGATTTTGCTCTGTTGTTATTTTCATCCCAGTTACCCTTCCTATGCTAGAATTTGGTAAAAACTTTATATTTTAATCACACGTGGACTCTCAGTCTGAATTATTTTACTCTGGCACTGCTGGACTATATTATCTCTGCTAAATACCAATTTTTCAATATCTCACTATCACCCAACATTTAGCAGGCAGCATGATTTGGATTCTACTTTGATCTTTCAGAGCTGTAGCAACAGGACTGGTGGTTTCAACAAGCAAACAGACAATGAACATGTAGAGCAGTTAAAACTCCTTCAGATTAAAAATCGTACATGCTTTGTAAAGTGCAGAGGGGTTATAATGCACTTTATTCTTGTGCAGCCTTCAGTCTATTCAGATACACAAAACAAGTGCACTCAAAAAAATTTCCACAAGTGCATTTTCAAGTGCCTCTTTTTTTTTTTACACATCCACAGCAGATACCAGAGAGGATGTGAAGAGGACTTTAAGTAGCACCCGTATTTTCAGAGTGATCCTGACTTTTTGTCTCTTGGGTTGTAAATAACATGTCACACCCAAGAGGTCACCATTGGCATCTTCTTACCTGCACATGACTTCATGAGTGAGTAGAACTCTGCACATTTCTGGGTTCTTGTTTTGTCCTTCATACGCGATGGGCTATTTAAAAAAAAAAAGATTAAAAGTCTGAGAATTCATTTTTGAGATTTTCTCCCGTATTTTTAAACTATTTTTGGATAAGGTCTGGAAACTGCAATGCTTGTACGGTGTCCCTTTGCTAATAAGCAGATATCTGTGCATGAAAAGAATCCGCTGCACATAGTTTTGACATTACAGATCCTAAAAGATATCGTAGCTAGATTTGAGTCCAGTAGCATCTTGGAGATCTGACGAAGGGAAGGGAGCCTTGACTCTCAAAAGCTCATACCCAGAAAATCTTGTTGCTCTCTCACAGGGGTGTTGAACTCACTGAAAATGTGTTATTTAAAGTTTAAAAAATTATATGCGTTTGTCTGTGTCCATTATAAAGTTTATATCTCCGCTATCTGGCATTACCTTTTATGACACACATGGCCCGGCCCGGCAAGGTCTCATTTATGTCAGATCTGGCCCTCGTAACAAATGAGTTCGACACCCCTGCAAGGAGCTACTGAAATTGAATCTAGCTGTTCCCCCTGCAGACCAGTAGGGCTACCCTCTGAAAGGAGGAGATACTGTGGATGCTGCTTTGAGTGAGAAGAAAACAGCCCCAAGGAAACCAAGCAAAGTAACTAAGGACACGAACAGAATGGATCTAGCAACTGGACACCTGCCTGATCTTACCTGTTTTGTGACGGAGTCAATGAGTCTGACAAAGAGATCTTGTTCAGTTCTGACACCTGCAGGGGGCACACAGAAAGCAACAGGGTGGGAGAAAGTCAGGCTCTGGCAAAGGATTTATTCTCCCATCCACTGACCCCCCATCCCTGTTCCCTTAGAGCTATCCTTGGCCTTCCACATACTGATAGAGTCTGACGTGTCCTCTCCACCACCACCATGGCCGCCATTTAACTATTCCTACAAAACACAGAGATGGAGAGAGCCGTGCCCAGGTGGGCTGAGCTGTTCCCTGGTCTCAGAGCAGACACACACCAGGGTGCTCTTCCCACAAGCCTCTGGGAGGAGAGGGAAATTCAAGCCAGAGGCAGCCAACAGTATGGAAGAGAGCTGCCCTGGATGAGCAAAGAAAGGCTTTCCTTGGTGTAGGCTTGGTCAAACAGGGCTGACAGGTTTTGGAAAGTGGAAACACTCTCTCAACCTGCCGAACCGGTCCACTGTAAGCACAAGGGTAGGAGCCTCCATGCCAGGAGTAGGGTTCGGGCTTTCAAGGCCCTGGGGGACTTTCTCCTGCTCCAGCCTCACAGGCAGGGCTATTTTGGGGCAGGAAGGCTTGTTCCGGCTGGTTCCCAAGTTGGCCACGCCCAGCAGGAACTCATTAGCATAATAGGCCACACCCAACAGCAGAAACTCATTAGGATTGGCTACATCAGGGGTGTGTAACCTAACATGCAAAGGAGTTCCTGCTACAAGAAAGCCCTGGGTTTTGACAACAAAAAAGGTAAACAGAATAAGAAGCAAAAGGTGGGTGTGGCTGGATGAGCACACTTCTGGTAACATGGGGGTGTGGCCTAATATGCCAATGAGTTGCACTGTCAGAGGTGTGGCCTAATATGCTAATGAGTTCCTGCTGTTTGGGTGTGGCCTATTATGCTAATGAGTTCCTGGTGGGCTTTTTCTACAAAAAAAAGCCCTGCTCACAGGCAAGGGGGGACCCTTCTCAGCCGAGCCGGGCGTCAGCCCACGTTTTCAAAAGCCAGGAGGGGAATCGACTTACCGTTGCTATAAAGGAGCTGCAGTTTGTAATGGGTGCCATTGTTGGTTTTTTCGTTGCCTTGTTCCTGCAGAGAAAGAGATTGGAGGGCGGGGAGGCGAGAGTCAGAAAGAGAGCGGTCAGAAAGAGAGCGGGCACTCACCAGACTCATCAGTCGGTCGCTTATACCGCCTGTGGACGATTCGGAATCTCTGGCTAGTAGAAGCCGCTGTTTCTCTCTCCCCACCATCATGTTTTCTTCTTGGAACAAATTAGCCTTCTTCTGCCCCCGCTCCCCTAAACGCCTTCTAGGTCTTGGGAGACAAGTCCCCGCTTAGCTCCACGGCCACGGGGCTCACTCCCAGGTAAGAGCGCGCACTCTTGCGGCGCTCACAACAGGAGGCTGAAAACGGTCCACTTGTTTCTGCCAGAGAAGTTTTTAGAAATCCTGCTAATGTTTCGCTTGAGCGATCTCCCCTGTAGTATTTTATTCTTTGCTGCGTTTTTAAACTCGACCCTTATGCCAAAAGTATTCAGGACAGCCTACCCCCTCACAACAACCCCGCGAGGTAGGTTAGGCCCATCCTCACCCCCATTGCTTCCCGAGGGTGGATTTGCACGGGCCCGGAAGTCTGCCCCTTCCGACGTTCGAGCCCTTGGGCCACAGAGCCTGTTTCTCGCACACGTCCCGCAGCGCAAACGGATGTCTCCGGAGCGCTGTTTTGGTCCGCCCAAATAATGGTGACATTGAGCCGTGACATTTCTCGAAACCTCCGTGAACCGGGAAAACCGAAGGGAGGGCTTCGGAAACGTTATTTTCAGAAGAGCTACCTTTATGATTAGAAGGGAAATGTATTTGCACTCCTAGGCGAGGAAATTCCAAAGGTCTGAGACGCAAAGAGGATGTCGACCTTTCTTTTAATTTTCATCCACTCATCCCCCAACATTTCCCCCCACCAAAGAACTTTATATGCCGCCTTTCCTCCAAAGAGCTCAAGGCGGTATACACGATTCTTCCCATTTTATCCCCATAATAGCCTTGTGATCTCTCACAGGGTTGTTACGGAGATAAAATGGGGGAGAACTAGTGGCCGCAGTTGCCTTGCTGAGAAGGGATTTGAACCCAGGCCGGCTCTACACTCGAACTACCAAACTCAACCGCACTTCTATTCATTACTTTTGGGGGGTACATCAGGACACAAGTAAAAGATTAACCGGTATCTCAGATCCTTTCTGCTAGACCCAAAACCTGGCATGATTTTACGTTTACATGCGTTTCATCCCGATTCGATTTCTCCCTGCCTCTCCTTCCCTCTCTTATGCGCGACCCTCCCCTCCAACGGATCCAGACAGCCTTTCTGCTGGGCAGAAAGGAAGGGTCTCCTTTGACTACCGGGAAAGCCTGGGCTGCGGCGGACGGGACCTGCCTGCACAGAAGTCCTATGGGAAGAGGGTTGTCGTAAGGAAGAGAACCCGGAAGGCAGGAACTAGCTCCCCTACACACACACACACATCAGTTAAGCACGGCCAAGTCTTACTGGGAACGGAGGAGGAAATAAGACCGTGGAACTCAGCGGGACTTAACAACGGAGAAAATTCCGGCTTAGGTTAGCGCCGCGTATTTGTGCAGCGCCGCCCGCTCCCGTCTGCAGCTGGCAGAGGTGAAATTGACGCGGGAGGTTGCTTCGGCCAGGGGGAAATTGACAAGAGCACTGCCGGGCACACTTTTAAGCTTCGCGGTCCTTCTTGTCAGTCCGGCCAGGAAGTTCTCCTGCGCAAGCCTCAAGTCCGGCGTCGAAACGAATAGGAAGCTCCCGTGCAGCCCCCGGTTCATTTCGACCGGCACTCGGCGCAACAGACCTTCCGAGAGGGATCCTGCTTCTGGATCCTATGCAGACTTACTCCAGCCTAAGCCCAGACTGATTTCGAGGAATTTAGAATGGAGTAACTCCGCCTTGGATTGTAAAGCGTGGATTCGGTATACCCACTGAACACTGCGGGACTATCCGACTCCCGAAAGCGCAGGGCCGGGCAGGCCTTTCTGCCAGGGAATTGGAGTTTCCAGAAGTTTTCCAGGCAGCGATCCGCCAAGTGTGAAGGTCTGGCCGACTGATCTTGAACAGTTACATGCTCCTGCCGGTCCCATCGCAGCCAACGGTGCGCTCAATAGCCTTGGAGATGGGGGTGTACCAGTGGGGCGGCAGGCAGGCAGGAAGCAGGACGGGAGGGGGGGGAGGACGGAGAAGAGAGAACGCCAGACGACCCGGCCGTCCCCCAAGCCTTACCTTGTCGTTCTCCACGAAGTCCACGAAGGCCGTCCGCTCGATCTCCACGGGTTGCCCTTGTCGGTCGTAGAGAGCCAGGACGAAGTGGAAGAAGTTGGACTTCCGTAAGTTGGAGGGCGGCTGCTTCTCGAAGTGGGCTCGCGACAAAGCCACGCCGCTGCGGGGAGAAAGAGAACAGAGAGGCCGAATGAAGGAATGACCGACCGACCTCCAGGCCGCAGGCCCGCCAGGCGCCCCCCAAGAGCGCAGAGAAGCCCCCGAGAAAGGCGCGGCGGCCACGCCGAGCCCGGCAAGGGATTCACCTGCCCGGGATCCACCTTCTCAGTCGCGCGGTGCCGCTGCCGGGCGAAGAGGCGCCGAGACCTCTATTCAAGGGCCGAAGGCGAGGAGGGAATAAAATCTAGAGGTTTTCTCCCCTCCCCAACAATACAGAAAACCGACTGGGACCTTGCAGCGCTGATGCTCTGGAAGTGGAGCCCCCGAAGGTCTGCGACAGGGAACCCAGAGCGGCCTCCTGGATCCCAGGACAGAGTGGGATCTCTGTTGGGCAAATCGCTAAGTCGAAAGAAGAAGCCATTCTTGGGACTGAACTTTTTAAATTTATACTACACTACACACACATAATGCTTATTTCTCAACCCCCCGATCTTCCCTGGAAATCTGGGACCGACTTGTAAGGTACCAAGATCCGAAGCGTGAGAGGAGCGTTGTGGGGGGGGGGGGGGGGGGATCCCCGGGGTCAGAGAATGACAGACCCCAAAAGATGCCCCTCCGTTGGTCGGGGCGGGGGTGGGGGGGTTGCCCTTGAAAAGACAACGTTTCGCCCACATTCGGGTGCCACTCTTTACACACGCTACCTGGGCTGTAGGTCCCATTGAAATCAGCGGGGCTTACTCCCGAGTAAACATGCCTCAGCGCCAGCTGGAGAGCCCCTCGCCGCCGCCGCCCGGGTCCTTGAGGCCCACCCCAGCCATCTGCGGGTCAGGGTTTCTCTTCCAAGGTCCCGAGTTGCCAACGGGAAGGTCTTCGCTTCTGTTCTTCTCACCCCCGTTCGGAACAGCAGCGAAACTTGGGACCCACAACATGAATCGCCCCCCCTCAACACACTCTCCTTTCCTCCCTCCCTCTGGCTCTCCCGGATCTGAGCGAAAGCGTCCCCCCCCCCCCCCAATTATGACGAGAGGGGGAGGGCATGGTGTTTGAGAAACTTTCTCCAAATCAAGGCGCAGCGATCGCGTCGAGGGCCGGATTAGCCAATGGCCGGTTAAAATCCCCCCCCCCGAAGTGCCGGCCCTCGGCCCGTTTGCCCCTCCGCTTTTAAGGGACCAGGTCACGGTGCTTCGGTCGGTGGGGGGGGGGTGATCACCGGAGGAGGAGGAGGCTTGATTTGTGATCCCGCCGCGCGTGTCCTGGACGTGACTCTTGCGCTTCCCCTAAACCAGGCGCTCACTTACTTTGAGCCCCTTCCGCTGGAATCAATGGCTCTTCGGAGCAAAGACAAATCAATCGAATTGACCCCCAAGTCGAAGGGCTCAAGAACGGAGCTCCGCCAGGCAATTATGATTTTAACCTTTAAAATATATATGCATTTGGTGGTACCTTTCGGGCCAACTGCAGCGATGAATGCGGTGGGATTCTCTGGCAGAACGTTAGAAACAGCCCGATCCTATAGTTGATTCCTCGGAACTCCCACCGACCGAGTTCCTTGGATCTAACTTCAGTACTGACTGTCAGTGATTCCTTTCTTCTTAAACCTGACAGCCCGAGCCTGTGTGCGTTTAATCTGAAGTCAGTCCCACTAAATTCAACTGGATTTACTCCCGTGTAAGAGCAGTATTTTTTTGCTATTAACTCTCGAAGAAGTTGTACCATTCCGCAGGGCCGATCTTTTGCGTGGTTTGCTGAGACCCAAACCCCACTACATTCTCGCTCCTCGTGTAAGGGTGTCTAATTTTGCAAACTTGCTGCGTTAGAATGTACAGGTTTCTAGGGTCGTAGTTCTCGGCTTCTTTGGGAACGAACGCCATCGGAGTCACCGGGGCTTACTTCTGAGTAAACGTGCCCAAGCTCGGGTCTGCGCGCGGCTTCACAGTACAGGCCTATCCGACATATGCTTTACCCAGAAGTAAGTCCTGGAAAAATCTATAGGAGGGTTTATTTTTTTGGTGGATCTGTTTAAGGTTGCAGCCAAAACACACTTGGGCTGGGGTATGCGTTTTAGGATCGGAGCAGTAGCGCTGGGGGGAGGGGGGACACTTTTCCAATAAATGCGTTTAGAACCAAGAGTTGGTTATGTTTCCTAGGGGGTGCACCGATTTAAAATCTTGGATCGCCCCATCACACCCCTTTTCTAAAAAGCAAAACAGCTTCGATTGGTTGCTGATCCCCAAATCCCCCTTTGATTCAAGTGAGATTGCAGTCTTTACTGGAGAGTAAGCCTAAGGGAATTCGTGGGGTTTACTTCTGAGTAGATATCCCCGAGCGCTTTGCGCCCAAGCACGGGAAGTCCGATGTCCCACCGCCCCTCCCACTTTCCCCAATAGTCCCCTTGAATTCAGACTTGGGTTTACTGGGCTTGGGCGAAAACACCGTGACGGGATCACTCATTTCCTCGGGTCTTTTCTCCTCCGGCTCGCTGGTTGTTTTGCTTTCAGGCCTCCAGGTGGGAAGGCAGACCTGCTAGAGTCATCAGCGGGGGGACCCTCCTCTAGCAAAAGCGGGCCCGGCGGCTGTTTCGGCGCAGGGGGCGGGAAGATGGATGTGCCTCTTCGTTCTCCGGCGGGATCGACTTTCTGGTCCGCTCGCTCGATGAGCTGAAAGAGCGGCCTTCGAGC